CTAAAAATGTTTTTTTTTGTTTGAAATAAATGACAAATGTCAATTGTCATATTCTGAGGTATAGGGCCTATATGGAGCTGTTTTTTTTTTAATAGTCTGTCATGATCGCCACTCCTGTGTCCAAACATCCTTTTTTGGCAATGAATTTAGACAACCTGGTCTTCTAGCTCTTCACTATCAGGTATTTTTTTTTAATTTAATTTTCCTTTATTGCTTGGAAGGCACCAAAAAGACAGAGCAAACCTTTTAAGAAGTCATAACCTGTCTTGAAAAACAAAACAAAACAAAAAAAGAAGTCATAACCTGGAAGCATTAAAATTCACTGGTCACTTTTCTTTGTTTATTACATAGTCATTTGTGTCACAGATCCTATTTGTATAAAAATAGAGACTTCTGCCTAAGATTAGTACCCTTTTGATTTTTGCACTCACCAAACTTTTCAAAATAATGTGCTCCTTATTGTTCCCTGCCAAGGAGCCAATTTTCTGATCTCAGTTGGCCAGCCTGACTTGGGGATGCAGTTGGCCAACCTGACTTGGGGCAGTAGTGGGCCAGCCTGACTTGGGGACACAATTAGCCAGCATGACTTGGGGACACAGTTGATCAGACTGACTTGGGGACGCAGTTGACCAGCCTGACTTGGGGACACAGTTGTCCAGCCTGACGTAAGGACGCAGTTTGGCGCATGAAGAAAATGGGACACAACATTCATTTGCCATTTTATTTTTTAAAAACGAAATATTCAAAGTACTTTTCTTTCAAATATTGACACGTAACGTTTAACTTCAAATATTTACAGCATGTTGTTGTGATGCTCTTGTAGAAAAATGCATGCTTCTGGCCTGAAAGCCAGAGCAAAATGCAAAAGACCATTGAACTGCAGCCAGAGAACATGAACCTGTACAGTATCCAGTCACTTTTCAGCACAGGAGAGCAGGAATACAAAATTGGAACCTATTGTTTCCTAGCGACATGGCTCAGGCCATAATAACACAATTTTCAGTATGATTAGAATTTCTAACTGTTGTTACATAGAAACTGAAAATCTTGGCATACACTGTAAACATCTTTACTTTTCATGAAAAAGAAAGCAGCTAAAAAGAGTACTTTTCTAACATAAAGGCTGTACTTCTCCTTTTCACCTTTCTTCTTACTGATGCTTTTGCCAGAAGAACAGTAAAGATTTAGACACTGTCATGATTCATACACGTAAAATATTTTTCAAGGACACAATCTGATATACTAACATTTATTTAAGAGGTTAAAGTCCACCACTAAATCTAAGGAAAGATTTTTAACTGCCAAACACATTTCCTTTGACAAATAATGTAAGATGACAACTGCCAAGACAAAATCCACAGCAAGTTTAACTCTAAGTATGTTCAATTACTGTTTAGGAAGCAATTTCTTCTTACACACAGTAGTATATTTGGTCCTTAACAGCTTTCACATGAAGGACACACTGAAATAAGTCACAATTTTGTGGTTGAATTGTTTCTGGTTTTTTTTTTTTTGTTTTTTGTTTTGCTTTATTTTTTTGTTTGTTTTTTTTGTTTGTTCTTTTGCTCTTTTTTTGGTTTTTGTTTCCTTTGCAGTATAAAGACCTTACAGAAGACTGCAGAACAGCAGTCTGAGATCTGAAATATTTGCCAGGTCAGCTATGTATATGTGAGTTCCTCCAAGAAAACAAGAATGTGGCATCCAATCTGTAGGCATATGTTTCCCTACAAGCTAGAAGACACTCCATTCCCTTCAATTTTTCTTTAAATACTTGATTATTGTACTTTTGCTTTCATTGCTCTTAACACAAACAAATCTGCAGAAATGTGAAAACTTTGCCTGAACTCTCAGGTAAAGTTACTGTGGGAACAGGTCTAATGGGAAAGAAAGAAAGAAAATGCAGAAATAAGTGATGAGATGAAACTGTGTCCACAGTAATGAAAACTAAAAATCTAATTAAAGTTATAATGGAATGATATATATGATAACCTTGCTATGTATGTAGCATATGAATTTCAAATTATACATCACCATGTTTTCATATATTTGGCTATGTTGTATATATTGTATTTCATATATGCAGTCTATATATTATAGATCTCCTAGATGAATTGACCATAAATGACATACTTATTTTATACATTCTTTTGTTGGGTTAAAAATAAAACATATACTTATTTCTATGACAAGAGTTTTGCTGAAAGAATGAATTGAGCTTTGTTTTTCTTTCCTTCCAGAATCATGCTTCCAATCATTAATGATTAGAATGACAACTAAAAAAATACATGATTTAAAAATCTCTTAAATTTAGAACTTTTCAGCTCATTTGGATCTCTAGACTGTATGCAACAGTAAACCAAATTAAAACTTAAAAGCACAAATGAAATGGGCCTAAGGAAAAAAAAAGTAGTCACAGTATTTCCTGCATCTCCCCCAGAATGTTCCTCACAGGAACATCCAAATACTATTTTCTCACTTTAACCTACTTGAGTGGTATATGTAGCTGTGTTGTGTAAGTCTTTTGTGTGTGAGAAATTGCACGTGCTTTCTCCTCAAAGCTGTACTGTTATCAGGAAACACAAATGAGTTGTTCTTTCGTTTAAATTTCAAAACTAAAGCTCAGTGAAAGCATCCTTTCTATCCTGCTAACAGGAAGCACTATACTTAATATCTTCATATTCTTATCAAGAAATGCCAAAATGTTTCTCTTAGATTTGCGACTTGTAGTGTTAACCTTTTGGTTTTTCTTTTCCTCCTCAAAACTTTAGGAGTTGTAAAGAGAACAATAATAGTTCAAGGCAGTAGTAAAACCACAGCTGTAAGTGATAAAAAGTGCATTTCCTGAATATAATACAAGTATAAGTTTAGGAAACCAAAGGCACAAACTAACTAAATACGTATTACAAACTAGAATCGCACAGTTCAGGGTAATTACTAGGAAGGGATAGTTTCAAATATTTGTTTCTAATGCTTATTTAAAGCAGTTTGAAAATGATCCATCATTAGTGAATTGCAAAAGAGTGCAATCACTTAAAATAGAAGCAAAATAGACTCCAATATTGACACACTGGGTTAGTGATAAAAATACACCACGTTTAAGAATGCACTTTTATATACAGTTAACAAACTATTTTCCCATTGACTTAAAAGAATGTCAGAGGTTCTAGAAACTTAAGGTCTACTTTTAGGTTGGTGTGGAGGTATTCAAATTTTCAACAAGTTTGTGGAACTGTTCAGAATTTCATTGTGAATAAATACTGTAATGATGACACAAGCCTTATTCAGGAAAAAAACCCTACACTGGGATTTTAGTCTGGATTAACAATATCTTGAGCTGATGTGTTTCCAATTACAAAGATAAATGATGAGTTCCTCATGAATTCTCTCTTTCTTCCTTCCCCCATCCTCAGTGCATGTATAAGTATGTAATGATCTGAGCCTGAAGGTTTTAAGAATGAAATATTTTAATACACCTTCCCCTACTATTTTCTGGGGTCCTTTTCCTCTCCCTTATTCTTCTTTGTATAATGAGAGTCACATTCTTTAAAAAAAAATCTTAACATGAGCCAGGATTTTGACTTTGCATATTTCCAATGAAACTGTCATCATAAAGCCCATATTGCATTTAGGTAGTAACTGGAAAGAATCTGAATGAACAGTCCATCATAAATTCTCCTCCAGACATAGCAAATGTTCACCTGGTGATGTGAGGGTAGATGCTGTCTCATGAGAATTTTCTACCGGGTACATTGTGCTGTCATGAATTTTCATTTGTGGCAACTTGCAATTACATAGCATTTTATAAACTGCCTCTTTGTCAATGGGCACACATCTCTAAGCTCACCAAGTGGCTTCTTTAGTTGCAGGAGTCATAAGACACTGAGAAACTGCAGCAGACATTGATATCAACTCTGACCCTTTTTTGAGCGATTATGAAACAAGCGACCCCTCTTGAAAATAGTCATTTTCCTAGGTGGAATAGATGGTTAAATAAAAATAAATGGATTAAAGACAGAGAACTAAAATAGCCACATAAATTATGATGGTAAAAAAAAAAAACTAGTCTGCCCTTCTGTAATTAGTTGAAATGCTTGAAGTTGGAAAGGCTTCACTTAATTCAATTTTCTACATATGACTGGGAGAGATTCTATACAAAATTGTCCATTTGAAAGATGAATCTAAATGGGAAGAAATGATGAGGCAGCGACTCTTATTATGTTGGCCTTTGTCTCTTTTTCACTTTAATACAAGGTCTATTGTTTCTAAGATTTCGGCTCTTGGGAATTTCTGCAGTAGTTTAATATGTTTATCAGCAACACAGGCCCGTACACCTGTTAAAACCTCTTCTATTGTACCAGATACTTTTTAGTATATTACCTTTCATGTGCACAAGCCATTGGATTAGTGTATAAATACTGGATTACTAATGTGAAACTGTATTACTAATGACCAAAGCACACCCTATATATAAATGAGAAATTCCTATCCAGGTTAATAAAAGCTATGTTTACATGACACCAATACAGCTGGGCAAATGGATAAAAAATTGAGTCAAAACAGATTATATGAGGGAGGTCACATTGACCAGCTGCTTTGGTATCATGTACACACAAGCAAAACAGTGGCTCTTCTGCCTGCTTACTGCACCCACAGCAAGGCACAGTAGACCGAAGCCAGCCACCACACGCCAAAACACAGCACAACAACATGGCATTTACTTTTTAACAAGCAAGGAGGAAAAACCAGGGAAGGAGGGAAAACAGTTTCCGACTCCAGGAGATGGTGCTTGAAGACATTTTAGATTTCCTTTTAAGTTTCCTCTAACAGATCTGGACAATGTGCAGGGGCTGGCAGTCTTTTGAGATTAAAGGTTCAGCTACTGTTGCACCACACTTTCAAGTAGCCTGGAAGTCCTGCCAACAGTTAGATGTGAAACTTGGTGTCACACTAGAAATTGAGAGCCTTGGGTTCTTTTCATGTAGTTGAACATATATATGCATGGCTCAACAAATTGAAAGTGGTGCTTCTAAAAACATTTGTGTTAGCTGTTTGAGTTCAGCTTGTGTTCTTTTGAATACTGCCACACAAGAACTAAAAATCTCTGTCATTTCTTAAAGAGTTTAAACAAACAATATTAAAATACCATCTTCTGTCACATTGAAAGGCAGTTGGATATGTTTTTCCTCCATATTTACACATACAGAGTTCTGATCTAGAAAACCAATACAATAAACCATTATTTTTTTGTTTTAAAAACAGGCAGTCTTTGGTGACGCAAAGGCAGAGATTTCTTTTGTTACCTCCTGCCTATTTCGCTCTGTCTCATAAAGTGAATATTGTTGGCACTGTCTGAAAGTTCTAAATACTGCTCAACAGACAAGACAAAATACCCATCATACCCTTGCACCCTCCCAGTGCTCAAAAGCTGCTGTTTTTCCCCCTCTGTCCATGCCCGAATCCCTTCTTCCCCTTCCTGTAGCCTCCTCTGCTCCTGAAGCCAGGCCTGGGCCACCGCTCGCTGTCTGGCCATCTCCAACACGTGGTTCTTCTCCTCTTCAACAGTCGTTCCATACCGGATATTGAAGCACAGAGCTCCGTGCTGCAGTTGAATATCTGCAAAACGTCTAGTCCTTCCATTCAACACTGAAGTCATCTGAGACACAGTGACATTGACACCATTCTCCAGAATCCGCCTCCCCCCAGTGTTACCAATGAGCACAAGATCCTCCTCCAGAGACCCAAGCTTAATGAAATAGTGAGTGTCCCTCCCTTCTATGGTAAAATGCAGGTTTTCCAGGTAATGGGCATTGTTGAGAATGGCAGCAAGACATCTGCTATCTTCATTGGCTACTCCTATAATATCAGCCGTCACTACGCCCTCTTTGATGGCAAATTTTATACCTTTGCCAAAGACAGAAGGGACGGCAGAAAACCTTGGTGTTTTCCCTCCTTCAAGGCACCGCCCCTCATTGTACTGAGGAGTCATAGGAAGCTGATCCAAGGAAATGAAATTCCTGAGCTGTTTCTGGAGCTCACACTGAATGCCCAGGATCACCTAGGAGAGAAGGCACAGGGCAAATGTAGCACAAGGTTAGATACCAGATGGAAGCCTGGTGATTATCGGGAAGAAAAGGCTGGCAAAGGTGATTCTTTCTCTTAGTTTTAACTTGGTCATTATTTAAAACAAAAGCCCACGCTGGAATATCTACATCAAAGATTGGGAAAACAGAAGGTAGACAGGTACTGATTTCTCAGCTGTTTTACAGCTTACTTTAGTTGAGTGTAAGAAAATATGTTCAAACATGTTATCCCACAATCTCAGAGCTACAAGAAACTTTCCGTTTTGGTTTTTCTATTTTCAGCATGTACTTGTGGCTACCGGTTTCTGAAAATTTCCCACTCAACACAAATATATTTTATTTTGGTCAAATCTGTTCCTTACTCCTTACTTGGAGTTTCTTCCAGGTATTTGACCCCAAAGTGCACTCCATCCTTTTATATTTGTACACCCTACCAAGTCCAATTAGTCCAGTTAGTGTTGCCCATGTGCATGGAAGCATAGGGCTATCTACTGTAGTGTGCACAACTTACCACAGACCCCACACTTGAAGACCCCACACTTTGCCCTGGTAGTCATTGAGTGCCTGTAACTTCTCAACTAGTAGTGAGATTTTGTAGCCCTACCCCAATGCTGGAACACTGATTAGACTGATCTAGCATTAGTCTGGTATAGACAACCAGAGCTGCTGAGAGTTTCTGAATGTAACTCCTTGTCATGCCCCTAATAAGCTGTTTCTGCAGCATTTCCTCCAACCTCTGCTTCTTAGGATCTTCATGCCACTTTCTCTGTGATGTTCCCTGTGCCTTAGAGGGAGGGGCATAGAAGGAACTTTGTACAGGCTAGCTCGCTCAAAACACAGATCTTACATTCAGCAATCTAATTGACACTAGCTATGTGAGATTACTGCATGCAGAGGGATACATTGTGCACAGTGAGATTGGAAATAGTGTGCAAAGCTTAGTTTCTGCCTTCAGTCACTCACGGCCTTATAAATAACAGAAAAAACTATAAAAATATAAAAGACATGCTGATATTTTTATATTTTTTTTTTACTTGGGCACATTTCAAACTTGCTAAAAAAGAGAAAAGACTATTAACCCTCCTAGTTTTCAATAACTTCTAACATTTTAAAAAATGGCTTTTAATTATAAACACCACAAATATTACATATATTTGGTGTGGTACAATGGTCTGTAGTCCATCAATTATTTTTTAAATAAATGCTGATTGGCCAGTAGCCAGGCAGGAAGTATAGGCAGGACAACCAGATAGGAAGTAGAGCTGGGTCAGTGAGAACAGGAGAATTCTGGGAAGAGGGAAGTTCTAGTCTGCAGTCCTCACCTAGCCACAGAAGCAGCAAGATGTGACCGCCCTGCCGAATAAGGTATTGAGCCCTGTGTCTAACATAGACAAGAATAATGGGCTAATATAAGTTATAAGAGTTATTAAGAAGCCTGAGCTAATGGGCCAATCTTTTTATAACTAACGTAGGACTCTGTGTGATTTCTTTGGGACTTAATGACTGTGGAAACCTGGCAGGACAGAAAACTCAGTCAATATATGTTTATAAAAGATATAACTCTACACTATATTTGTACTTAGGACTTCCTTTCCCTTATAATTTTTTTTGCCTAAATATCAAGTTTTCCCACCTGAATTTCCATTTTCTTTTCTTACTTCCTTTTCCTTTCTGTTTATCTCCTCTAGCCTTCATGAAATCATTGGCCTACACATGGTTATTTCAGCATTCATGGTTTTTCAAGACTTTCTCCCCATGAAATGTAGTATCTTTGTTTATTATGTCTGTATATGGTTTTCTTTATCAAAACCGTTTTATTTTCATGTTCATAAGGCATCATCCTTGAAATGATTGGACAGTTTGAAATCTAATGCTTCCATGCCTTAGCATGTAGTTTTTCTCTGTATAGAATCCTATATTGCTGTTGCTAGCTGATTTCAGAATTTAAGAAGTTACAATCCTCTTTCCTCTTAAGTATTTATTGCAGCAGTCATCAAGAAATCTCCTAGTTTTTCCCCTTCTCAAAGCTGCACTTTTCTGATCTTTTCCTTATGGAAGCCTCCTCATAAGTCATTTAAAAATAGCCCCTCAAAGAAATAATCAAAGTATAGAATATAATTTTTATTAGATGTTTTTCTGTTTTTTTTTTCTTAGCTAAAATTTGTACTAACCTTTCCAGGGTCCCACTCTTGAGTTTTTGTCTGAAGCTGAAGAAGCTCGTAAGTTAAGTCCAAGTTTTCTAGTTCTGGTTTGGGAAATCCAGGTAGTACATTATGTAACTGGAAACCAAAGAGCTCCAACCAACTGCCAATATCTATGAGATACAAAATTTAAAAGAAAAAAAAGGCAATCAAAACTGTTTCCAAACTTGAGAGATATGCTTCTGCTGTAAATGTTTAGACAGTGGGAAGGTAAAGTAACAGTTCTCCCTTATTTGATTCCCTCAAAAACAATATCCTTTCCCCTTTGTAGGGAAATCTATTGGCCTGTGGGCAATCCCAGGAATTGGCTCAGTTCACTGTAGTGAAACTGATAATATGGTACTGGTTTTAAGACCACATGGATTGTGACACTGGGTTTATTTCTGATTAATTTAATCCTAATTGTTTTATGAGAGTACATTGGCAAGCTTTTAAGGATAAAACATAGAAATAGCTTAAAGGGAAAGAATAATAAAGTAAAAGCAAAAGCACTGTATCTGACGAAAAGTGACATGCCTTTCTTACTCTGAAAAAGGTGGCGTGAAGAAGGAGCATCTCTACATAGGCATTGAGATTATGTAATAAGATGGCCAGCACTAAGTTAGTTCAAGTTCAGCTTAATTGTATTCAACTTAATACCTGTGGTATACTTTGCGACATCTTGAATTTTGCCAACTGGATAGTTATTCTCAAAGGAGTACAGGTTGAATGGTTTGGGATGAAGGTTCAACTGCTTCCATATGTGATGATTAGGTGTGGTCCATCTGCCAGCAACAACATCATAATCCCTTTGCCCTAGATGCACTAATTTCGTAAGAAAATCATAGAGTCCTCCATGAAAACCGATTATGACTTGAAAGTCAGGGTAAGTATCGTGGTAGATGTCACCATAAGGCGTATACAGAATCTCCTTTATGACCTGACCCCGGCTGCTGAACACAGCTAGTGGAGTGCCTGTATTATCACAGGCTACATAATATTCTTCCCCACTACTTAACTCCATGGCAATAAGGTGACCTTGGAGATCATAATAAAGAGATGTAATCTCTGAGCTTGTGTGGTTGTACAGATGAGTGACTCTTATAGGGTTGGCAAGGTCTGCATAAAAGAATTGGAGATGCTCTCCTAGGCTAGACTTACTGGCAACACGTCGCCCAAGCCCATCATAGTAATACTGTACAGTCCAACCCGAAACCTTATTGTAGGCTTTCTGCAGCAGACCATTAGAATTATACTCAAATATATCATTTCCTCTCTGTCTCAGAAAACCATCTTCATCCATTTTATACTGAATTTCTCCTAGTCTAGTAATGCGGTCTCGGAGGTCGTATCGGAGAGGTGTAAGACGAGCACTATTCCCATGGCTCAAGAGATTGATGTTTCCATTCAGATCATAACTATAACGCCACTGGGTTCTGTCATTCACAGAAACAGTTTGAAGTTGCCCGTCAGCATCATATTCATAGAAGTACCTTGTGATATTGGCATCTACTCCTACCCTTATGTCACATATGAACATCCGGCCCATAGTATCATACTGAATAGTCATCCAGTAGGCAATTGCCTTTAGGATCTCATATTGGACTTCAATGACTTGTCCATTGGCATTGAAGATCTTGGTGTGCTTCATTACTGTAGTAGTTATAACCTGATTTAGATCATAGTTAATTACACTGAATTTTCCAAACTGTTCTGTTCTACCAGAAACATCAACGTATCGGTATAGATCTATGGGCAAAGGGGTCTCATTGATCACAGCTTGCATGCTGGTGACACGGAAGTTGTTGTAACTGTAGTCAAATCGTGCATTCACAAGACCTTCTTCACTGAATCGGAAAATCTGACGTCCAATAAGAGGTCCTGGAAGAACCAAAATAAAAAGAGAAAGGAGCCATCTGATAAACAGGAACAATCGCAGATATTTTTTGATTAAGTACTGATACTTTTATATCCAAAATTATATCCTTTTTATAAATTTGTCTCTGATGTCTGATGCCTGGGCGTGTGTGTGTGTGTGTGTGTGTGTGTGTGTGTGTGTGTTGTATGTGTGTGTATTTACGTGTGCATTTATATTAGTCACTAGACATTGAAAATATTGTATAACGTAATTAAAGAACAATTTAATTATAGGGACTATTGAAGTAATAACCCATCCAGTAGCCCAGAGGGAAAAACTGATATTATGTAAGACTTTCTTGCTATCATCATTGGAAAAATGTGTTTGTTTTATTTAACCTTTTCTACAAAGTCAGCTGGTCAGGTTTTCAGGTTACTTGAATGTTGAGCATTCAAGTAACTGTCTGGCTTTGGACATGTTATGAATCCAAAGGCTGAAATAAATCCTAGAATTCTGACTTTTGTCATCAACTGAGGCTTATAGAGGTTACCCTGGGCTTGAGCTAGTTTCTGACCTTAATGTCTTGTACATAGATCTTTGGGAAGATGCAGGGGTGGATATGAACAAGTACAGGGTTAAGATAAGTACTGAAGTTGCAATTGCTTTGAAAACTGAAAGAGACAGAAATACCATATATGCTATTAACGAATCAGCTTTCAGGTAGCTGTAACGCGTTTTAAATTTAGAGTGGAAGACAGTATGAGAAGTAAACAGAAACTTGTTAACAGAGGTTAACATTTCTTTTTATGAATGTGATCATAAAAATTATAAAAGAATATGAATGACAGTATATAATGCCACCCACTTTCATAACAAACCTGTTTGCCTGTATCTGATTGTGCAGATAAACCCATCATGCATCAGGTGTATTGTCTTAATCACTCCAGAAGACTCTTCATACGTCAGTGTGACCTGAGTGGTGTCATAGAGAATCTCAGACAGTCTTGCTTGCTTTGTGTACTTGTACAAAACTCTGCGCCCAGTCCCTAGATGCAGAGTCTGTAGCAGTCGGCCATCTCGACTGTAGTCTTGGATCAAAGAAGTGCTGCTGTCTGGCGGAGTGTAGATGTTACAGTAGTAGCCCACTGAAAGCATGGTTTGTAAGCTGTGGCGCACCATACTAGGCATGGTGACCGACAGTAGGCAATCTGATTGGTCATACTCAAAGATGTAACGCCGCTGACTGTGTAAGAGAAGCATCACAGACTGAAACGAGACAAAACCAAAATACTATCATTTATAAAACCAATGTTGAAGAGATTAAAAGAAACACATGCTCATCCATTTAACATAAATTTATCTAGCAATTACTGTGTACCAGGGATTGAGGCAGATCCTGGTGGATTCAGTAGTAACACAAAAATGGTATTTCCTTTCATGGGATTTGCAGTACCCAAGCAATTATAGTATATAATATGAAATGAGTTAAGACAGAGCATATACAAAGTACTTCTGGAAAGTAGAGGTGGAAGAATTATCCCAGACTTATGAGGCCAGAGTAAACTTATTGGGGACAGGACAGTCGAGATGAGACATAAATGATGACTAGAGCCTAGCCAGGCAAAGACAGGGAGATATATCATGCTGACAGACAGAGGACTTCTGGCAAAGCCCCTCCTTTGTTAGGAGGAGGCTGAGGATTAAGGGAGCCTATGAAAATGGTCATTTTCCTATAGAATGAGAGGAATTTTGTTTGGCTAGAACGTGTGTGGTTTGGGGGTAGTGGCAGCGAATGGTAAAAATGCAGCTGAATCTAGAATATGCTGTGAGGTTATAGGCATTTGTTCTTAAGCCTGTTTGCAATAGGGGAGCCACCGTAAAGCTTGAATCAAGTGGAAGCACATCCTTGAGGAGGTGGGAGAAACAGTCAGGTTGATATGTGAGAAAGGTCACTGCTACTTCTATGTAGAGATGGATTGGGGGGAGGTAAAGCGTGGATAGGGTGTATCAGGTATTAACTTTGAGCCACCTAAATGTGTTGATTTTATTTAGTCCATGTCTTCCTGAAAAAAATGCACATTGTCTATTCTTATACATGTTTTTAAATATATACTTTAATTCTTCATGTTTCAATCTGATTCATGTTTCAATATTAAGGGAGTGATGCACTAGAAGTGAAGAATTCTCTAGTTATATACCCCCAACACACAATAGATTTGTAATTTATGATCACTTATTTGTCATAGTATAATACTTTAAATATAATAAATATAAATATTAATAAATATTGGTTGATATTTTTATAATCTTTAAATAGAAACATAAGCCAGGCCTGATGGCACAGGCCTGTAATCCAGGTTACTCAAGAGGCAGAGGGCAGAAGGGTCACAAAGTCAAGACTTCCCTGGGATACAGAGTGAGTTTAAGGCCAGCCTTAGCTACTTAGAAAGACTGTCTCAAAATAAGCACCTTTGAAAAGCTTGAGAATATAACTCACTGATACATGCCTAGCGTGTATGAGGTTGTAAATTGAGTCCCCAGGACCAGAGAATAAGAAAATCAGTATCAATTTATAAAAAAAAAAACACAAAAGCACTATTTGAGGGAAGATTCTAGTTCACTGTCAGTTAAAATTCATTTTTAAAAGAATTTACTTCATTTGCATATGTGTGGTGCGTGTGCATGTATGTATGTGGGCATATACATCTGTATATGCACTTGTACAGGCCAGAGAGGAATGTTGGGTATCCTGTTTTCTAGCCTTCTGCTTTATTCTTTTGAGAAATTGTTTTTCAATGAATCTGGAGCTATTCTGGTGGTCAATAAGTCCCAACAACCCTCCTGTCTCTGTTTCCTGCAGCACTGGATTTACGGGCAAGTGTGAAGCTATGCATGCCTAGCTCTTTATGTGTCTGCTGGGGATTTGAGCTCAAATCCTTATGCCTGTGTAGCAAACACTTTTATATACTGTGCTGCATCTTCAGTGGTTTAATTTTTGTTTTTTGATGAAAATAAAACTTATCCACCCCAGGCACTCTAATATAATTCTTTAAGGGAGCTTAACTCTTTTGAGAATTACCTTACCAAACAAACTATTAAGTTCAACTTCTGAACTAGATGTTACGAAAACAATAGGCATCTTTTCATTTTCTACATGAATATCACACGAATAATTCTGAATCTTAATTATGTAAGCACAGGCAACTTGAATTTTCAAAGTGGCAGAATCATGATGCAATATTATGTGTGTGTTATGCAATGGCACATCCCTCCTATACTTCTGAAAATTATTGATTTTTCAGTTGCATGTCAATGCCATGAAATCAGTGCCTATTTGTTCGGTTAGTCATTGTTTCTTTTCTACCAACGTTATGCCTGGAGATCCAGAAATAGATGCACAAACCCTGTCAAATGGAACCTTTGCAGCTTGCCACATCTTGTAGCTCTATCACTGTGATCTGCGAACCCTCCTGAACAAAAGGCATGCTCCTGTGCAGGCCCAAGGACATGAAGAGAGGCCCGCTCTCTCCCATCAATGCAAACTCCATAGAACCAGGAGGAATTGTTCCTATGAATGGAACAGCAGGTGGTAGAACATTGATGTGGGTGGGTAGATGCAGTAATTGGTGAAAATACCTTTGTATTATTTCCACTCCGAAAGTCTGATTTTCCAGCTCCATTCCACTCTCTTTTGTCAGTTTTCCAAGAACAGATGACATCTGTCACTTGTGGTGTGGGCCAGGGACAATCACCATATGGCTGCCACACATTATCCTGTAGCATCCTGCCTGTTCCAGCCTTTGTGCTAGCTTTGCCAAAAATTTACACTGTGTTGTTATTGTACTCTTTTCCCTGTTTGTTTCCTCTAGTCTATAGCAAACTAGTGCCTGAGCTCTGGCCTCTATGGTACTGACTCTGAGTTGCCTCCAAAGCCCCCACCCTCCAAAGTCTGCTTTAAAACTTCCTGCTAATGATAAAAAAAAGAACATGGAAGACATGATTAGCAATCCCCTGAATGCAATTGTTTTGTTGTCACAATACCGTTTAGCTCTATTTGGCTGCCTTTTCCACTTTGGATTGGTATTATTATCAGTTTGTTCCAAAACAATGCTTGTGAGTCTATCTAATGTCCACCGTGCTACTGCTGGATAAAAAGCCATTACTTATTAGTCCGAATAATAGAGTGGGAGGATTTTGCTTTTTAATGGATTAGTATACCGTAAAAGAAACCTTTGTGAAGGAAAATAAAGGAGAGCAATCATGACTGGAAACTTATTTGAAAAAGACTAGAAATGAAAGTAAACATTTGAAAAGGTATAGTATTCACAAAACCACCAGAGGGCAGTGTGGGGCTACTTGGGAAGGCAAGCCCAAGACTGTGCTCTGTCTCTGCAGTGAGGCGTTGAAAACAACCCCGAATAGGCAATTTTGTGTAAATGTGCAAAACTAAACCATCTTATTAAATGATTATAAAATATATTTAAGTGCATTTTAAAAATGGAGCTTGTAAGAATGATTTTTAGAAAATTGAAAGATTTACATTAGATATAATACAAACTTAGCTGCACCGGTCTTCAAAATATAATTAACATAGAGAAGTGTCATAAATCTAGGCAGAAAATTAATGACTACATGCAGAAAAACTAAGAAATAATAATTGATTTTCTTAATAGCGAAGAGACTATTTAAGAAACCACAATCCTTAGCCAAATAATTATTTTTCTCCTAATGAGTACAAAGCATCGTTCACAAAATGATGTTTAACTTTCACCTACTCTAGAGAAAGTCAAACGATTTTTTACAACATTATTTTATGCTAAGGCAAAAAAGTATGATTCTGATTTTCAATAAATCATGGTGTCAGCATGGCAAGAGACCTTGTAGACATAATGCCGGAGTATTTGGGAGTAAAAAAAAGAGATTTTAAATTTTGATCATTCTTACTACGTACTACAAGAAGTAATACCTTCATCCCTGCCCTTCTCCTGTCTCCTTGAACGAATGTGGTAGCAAAGTCCATGTTAAACTACAGGATTAGGAAGACCAAAAGGAGCCCCAGAACAGCAAGCTCCTGAAAAAGTATATAAAATCCAACCATCTTTCTTTAGTTTCCTTTGAATAAAAAAATTTCAGATTCCTTTCTTTTATTCCTTTCCTCTTTTTCTTTTGTTTGTTCCTATTTTGATTTACCATCAAGTTGAAGCAAGCCCTAGTTATTTTCAATTATCTATCTTTGTGCTTTGTATTACATTATTTCATTTAAGCCGTGCATTTATCCAGTGAATTAGTTGCTTATCACTGGTGACAATATTATACTAAAATCAATTTCAGTATGAATTAGGAAATTAAGGCAAGAATATGGATGATATTAGAAATCTTATGAATGCAGCCATTTTGTAAGTAAGAAAGCATTCCATAATTATGTATTTTGTAGGTTTGGACTTTTGTACACTATAATTGCTTAAACAAGTGGTGAGCCTTTTATTTAAAGAATAAATTACACATGAAAAAAAGGCACAATAACTAAAAGGCCAAATGACTTGTTTCACTGGTCAGTAAACAATTGGAAATCATTGAAGTTTCTCTCAACATTATTCTAGATGAGGAATACATCTGGGTTTTCTGCTCCCTTTTTGCATATTTCTGAGAAAGGGTCACACAGGGGCCTTGAATTTGTGAAGCCCTTGGGTTCTACCTCGTTAAGGCCGGGAATATAGGGACATACTCCCACGCTGTGCTTTTATGTTGTTTCGCTTGATGGAACCGTTGCCCACTAAATATTTTACCTTATAGAAAGAGAACTGATATGAAGTTTGTTTTGTGTGATTCCAGAAGGAAATTGGATGAAATAAACAGTTACTTTGAGAAAGAGAGACCATATCTCCTCACTGCTATCAGAGAAAACTGCACGTGGAACGGAATTTTAAGTTTTCAATAGATGTTTTTCTTATTATATAAACAGCATCACAGGAAGAGTCTTAGGAGGCCTAGATGTTATTGTCTTCAGGCAATTTGCTCATTCTGGCCCTCTTGAGGCAATAACCTCCTGGGTGCCCTAAGGACTACTGGCTACCTCTCAAGTCACACAGAGGAGCTGTGCAAAGAGAACTGTTGAGTCAGGGGCATCATATTTTAAAAAATATGCAGGTCTTAAAATACATATCTCTTAAAATGTACATATGTAGCAAATTTAGCAATAAATGATGCCTTATCAAATATTTTGACTATGTATAGATGCTACCAAATATTTGAATTCAATTAATGTTTGATTGCTTTAGACACTGTAGACTTTAGCCACAGGATTTTCCAAGTCATTCTTTGTTGAGATTCAAAAGAAGAAAGATTTGCTCTGTGAGACACAGATTTCCCCTGTGTAGGATACAGATTACACATCCTGAAAGCTTTCCCAGAAGGGAAGGACGGACCCAGGGAGTATAGAAAAGGCAGAGGACTATCACCTCTTCCTTTTGCTCCTAAGCAAACTTTGCTTTGTCCTGACATGGGGAGTTCTTCATCAACTGACTCTGGGATGTAGTCCACTAACTGGACGATGACATGGAGCTACAGGTGCCAGCGCCTTTTGAGAACCAAACTTTGGGGTTATATCAGAAGCTCACAGATTGTCCTCTTTCTGCCACGTGCGCCATAAGCTCTCGTGATACTTCTAAGAGATCCTGTGGGTAATCTTGCAATTGGTTGCCTTTGAATTTTCCTGGGGGAAAATAGCCTTTACTTTTCCTAGGAATGAATTCAGGAATGATAAATTCAGTTGAAATGACTGAATCCAGAGGAAAAGACTTCATATCTCAGGAGGAGATCAGATATGGCAATGGCGGATGAAGGTTAATTGTTCTTATTGTCTACTGGTAATGATCGGAGGAGAAACTATTCTGCTGTGTAGGGGCCAGTGTTTCAACAATGTTTCGTGTGGTGGGATTATAATCCTTTTTCTTCCAGACAGAGGGCACAAGTTCCCATTATGGATGCTGTTGAAGGCTTAGCACACAAAAGACTATTACCAATTAGTAATCTCTGCCACTGCTCCCTCAGGCTAATGACTTTTGAGAATTAGCCCTCAAATGTGTACAACAAAAATTTCACTGGCTACACACTCACACACATAAAAGGAATTTCTTATTTGTTGGGTAAGAGGCCTTTTACCAGAGCAGAGAAACATTAACACAGAGTGCTGGAATTTGCTAGCTATTTTCTCTCAGTATGAGCTTTCATAATAATACAGATACCTTTTCAGTGGAATGAACAAATATGTTCAAATGAGTAGAAAGCCAAGCCATTATCCTGACGTCAGCTTGAAAAAGTACTTGGCAGAGGGTGGGGATGGGGATGTTTTCAGTTGAAAAACAGCCCATCCTTACAGGCTCACAGTGGATTTTTGTTATTTATACAATGAGAATACAGACTTTTCTCCTGAAAAGGTTCTCATAAAATTGGGTACTTAGGGCCGCCTTCAATATTCTTATTCATTTCCCTTCCACATACTTACTTTTTCTAAGTAGGTATAGCTCCAAATTTTTCCATCAGCCCAAGTTCTTGAGATTATTTTTCCACTCTGATCATATTCCATCTTTTCGTTCCAGGTTCCTCTTTGAATAAATGTGACCAATCCCGAAGGTGAATATGTGATGTTCACTTCATTATATCTGCTTACAGGAGACCACAGAATAGGTCTACCAGCTTGGTCATAAAGAATTCGAAGGGTAAATTTTCGATGGTCGTCATAGATCTTTCCCGTGCAGGTCATATGATCAAAATCTATGGAGAGTAGGTTTCTATTATGGGCCTACAAAAAAAAAAAGATGAAATACAGTTTATGTACTGCCTTGATTCTTAATCTAGTGCATCGAGAATCATGAAGCTTTTCTGAGTTCTCTGGTGATGGCGACCCCTCACCTCTGACTCTGAATTGTTTCATATTCTTCATCTCACAGTTATCTTTATTTTCTCACCAGCATGTACCAGCTATGGAAGGACAATGCTATGCTTTATCTCCTGGGAAAGTGCCTGATAATGATAAAATCTTGACCTTCATCATATGGCTGAGGACTGTTTTTCTCCAACTAAAGACTCAAGTGAGCCACTACAGTTTTCAATAACGACACGATCTTATTTTCTATGAGTTAGAATGGGTTTCCTGGGTTGGTTACTTTGTAATGAATCCAGTGGCTTAAAAGTCTGGAGTTACAATTCAACAAAAAAGAATACAATGAGGTCCATTCCATTTATGAAGGATTTACTGCTTTAGATTTCCCTGTGTATCAAGACTCAGTGAACTTTAAGTCATAATGGAACTCAGAGTATCTAGTGAGGGAACCACACACAACCACATTTTCACGTGAGGCTGGCAGGTAAACATGGTGGCATTGATAGCAAGTGTAATGTTACTTTCTGGTTAAAGAAAGAAGATAAATTTGACTTCAAGTTCAAAAACAACTTCAGTTTGCCTTAATTCGGGCCACAGGCTATTGCTAGTATTCTTTGCAAGCACCTTGAAACCTTACAGTTGACTAGAGTGAACTCCATTCAAGGGACCCTGGCTACGAGTTTATCAATGACAACACTCAGTGATGCCTGGCTTCGATGAAATCCAGCTAGGTCCAACTGAGTGATCCAGGCAATGAAATGGCTTACTAAAACAATTAAAGTTGAGCAAAACCACTTGGCGGCTTTTCAAAGCAACTAGACGAGTGACCCACATTTCCAGTTTTCGTCTAGGAATGTCCGTGCTTGGCAAACCCATCATAACTTCTGCTATGCTTTCCTGATTGTGACACAATCATTCAGAAAGCACAGCACTGAAACTTATTTTGTGTGTGTTCCCAGAGAAAGTGTTCTTGGTTTTAATCATTAAGAGAGTTGAGTTCATGAAGAAAACAGAACTCTCAAAGAAAGGTGGGTAGAACTTGGGGAAAGAACTTTTTTTTTTAAAAAAAAAGACTTAATTTTAGTTAGTTTGTGTGATTAACTTTGAGTTTTTGTAGGTGTTTCGCCTCATTATAAAGATAACATTATTTTGAACTAATTTAACACATGAAATTGAAAAATTGTTGAGCCATATGTACTCGTCACCTAATTTTCATAGGTAATGCTGTGATTTGGGTAGAGAAGGTCCTAGTGTATCTGGAAGAATTGAAGGTAAGAACAAGAAAGGAAAGAGTTTGAGAAGTATTGAAAAAATGAACCAATTAGTTACTGGTCTGCATACCAGGCGTTGTTTCCCACCTGATTCTAAATTTTAGTGTCTCTGAAATGGGAGGAATATTATCACTTTATATACCAGAGTTTTGCTAAAAATATAAGTGACTCCACATATACAGGCTCTTAGGAAACTGTAGAACAACAGTAATCACTATTTTAAAAATACATAATACAATGATCACTTCTCTTACTCTAATTAGGCCTACGACTAGGCTCATGTATCAAGTGACAAGGTAGTTTCAGCTTGGTGTAAAACATTTATATGGGCAAGAATTGTCAGCATGATCCCAATACAGGTTGTTAAATTTCTGGTTAATGAGATATGAGCAAAAAATAAAAGAAAAACAACAAAAATCTACATTAGAGTTTGATTCTATTAAATACAATCACACTAAACTAATCCATTAGTTCATTCAACTAAACTTTGCTAAATTTTAAAACCTTTTGTTTAGATTTATTTACTCTATGTGTATGAATGTGAACTACATGAGTGCCTGAGAGTTCTAAATGCCTGTGAGCCACCCTATGAGTGCTGAGAATTGATATCAGGTTCTCTGCAAGAGGAATAAATGTTCTTAACCTTTGAGCCATCTCTCCAGTCCTATGTTAACATTTAACTTTGGTCAAGAATTTCTTTAAGTGAAATTTATGAACTATGCACCTACTAAAATTTTATAAGCAGATACATAAACATTGGGATATAATCTTAGTTGGTTACCACACCCCCTTGAAACCCGAAAATGAAACTTTTATAGTATCTCAAGAATAAAGGTTTCAACTTCAGATAGAGTTTTTATCTCAGTAGCCTGAATGACTACAAAGTGCCCATTCTTATATCAGAATCGTGTCTTTCCTAAGTAACTTGATATTTTGTTTCTCAAAAATTACCAGCTCCATGCATATTTTCTGAGTATAAAGGGATAATTTATTTTCAAAGTTTCCCTACATTGGAAAATATAGAAATGTGTAGGGAAAATCATGATCTGACAGTTTCTATTAATACTTTACTCTGTTTCCTCCCATTACCTTTCTCTGGGGGTACAATTTTTCATACATTTAAATACATATAACTAGCATGACAGTTAGCATTGTGTTCTTTTTCATCTAATATTTTATTTCTATCATTCCTGCGTTAATATGTATTCTTGGAATATGGCTTTCAATGGTTGTATAATATTTTACTACATAATAAATGCTTGTTTTAATTCTCCCATAGTTGGAAATTAGCATTCTTGTTTTCATTTTTTCTTCTACCTTATGATTTGTTGAACATTTTTGTAAATAAATATTTCTACAACATATATCTTTATAAGCAAAATTTTTGTAATATATGACTCCAGATAAAATACTCCAGGTGTGATTTGAGAGATTACTGAATTATGCACAAGATAGCACAAAATTCATATAACTTTGTTCATAGAGCCAATCTCATCCTTTCCTTAGGAACATCGGTAGTGAAATTTTCCAAGTAGGAGAGTGAGAGAACAGTACTTTATTGTCAAATTTGCATTTATTCAATTGGTAATGAGCATGAGGTTGAACTTTTTTTAAAAAAAATTATTGACCACTTGTTTGTCTTCCATGGATCATCTGTTCATATTTGCCAAATTTTCTACCAGAATGTGGAAGTTGGTCTTTGAAAACATGCTTTGGTCTCTGTTTCATAATCTCTTGGTCAAGGCTAATAATATTTGCCCTTGATTTTGAATTTCTGCAAAAAGGATCCAAACATAACATGCTGTGAATTCTATCAGAAGACCAAATTGTTTTGTAATACTTAAATTATTTTGTAAAAGTGCTCTTTGTTTTTGAGAGTAGGTATAACTCAACTACCCTAGGGACAGATTTGGAACTTAAGAGTTTTTTAAACTGTCTGTAGTAAATGTGCACAGTGTTGTATTGCAAAAATATACACTACCCTGCCGGGTTCATCTAAAAGCACACAGTTCCTGTCTTGTGATATTCAGGGCTTGGAAGCTTGTAGGAAGTCAGGTGTTCTTTCTTCAACTACCTTTCCTGTGGTTTTATAGTCACATATCTTCAACTGTAATGCCATTTATTTACAACAGCTGCAAAATCCCCACAGACTCTCAGAGATAGTCATAACTATTACAATTTATGTTATAATGATAGTTAAAGAGCCAAAGTAGCAAGCGATTTTCAGTTCAACCAAATTTGTGGTTTTATTTGTTTGAGAGATGAAGCTTACTACTCAAGAATACATTTCTTAATCAAGTCATTATGATGCCACGAGTAATGGCCTGTGTTGAAAATACACTATGAAGTCAATCAGAGGAGGACTCTGTCTAATGCTTTTCTCTGCCTGCCAGGATTTCTGTAGCAGTGCCCCTCTGTTTGAGAATAATGCACTCTGATATTCCAGTGCTGCAATAGCAATGCTCCTGAAACTCTAGTTTCAAAGTTGGGCTTGGAAGTTAAAATAAAATTCAGCAGGGGCTGAAAGGGATGAAGGAATAAAATGTGCCATAGGTTTCCCTACTCATTCTCTGTGTAAACCACACAGAAGGGAGCTGCAAGCTAATTGCTTTCAGGTGAGCCTTCTTTAACCTCTGGCCAGGGTACCTATGTGCTTCCAGCCTCTAAAGTGGGCATCAGAACTAGGCTGACTGCCACTGACTGCTCTGCTCGGGTCATGGGTAAGGTTGGAACAATCCATATTCATACACATGCTTGCTCTTCTCTATGACAACAGGTCTTGAGCCAGGCGTGGGCCAACAATTCTTATTTCTATTGTATTTCCAAACAATCTATAGTGATTCCTCTCTTGGAAAAGAGAGTGTGAGAATAGTCCCAAGTTATAAAGGACACCTTTTGGACAGTTGTACACTGGGTGAGACCTTTGAATTTGGTCACTGCTGCACAGTATTTTGCAGAAAGAAAGATGGGCATGCTGATTTTTTTTTTAGATAGAGGAAGATGTGCATATGCTGTGTGCACCCTCTGGTTTCCAAACAGGCTTTCTTTTCCCAACTGTACTAAGGAAAGGGGCTTGCTTTTTGTTTACAGTTGAGCCAGAGAGGAAAGGGAGAATGCACTCTGGTGAGCAGTGCATAGCATTGTCAGCAGAACCGAAAGTGTCTAGCAAGGGTATGGGGTGTGTTGAATGGCAGGAGGAGGGGACTTGAGAGGCAACTGTCCTTTATCTCTACTTTCTGACTTTTCTTAAGAGTTGGGTTTTAATTAGTTAAGAGATAACCTTCCCTCCACTCTTCATATGTAACTGCTTTCAGATAGTAGGATAACGCTATATTAGATTGATCTGTGGACAACTGGAGATATTTAATAGCTGTGCTCTACACAAAAGGAAATCTATGCTTTAACTCACCACACACACACACACACACACACACACCCCAGAGCTACAATCATGACAGTTTATTTTTCTTTCTTCTACAAGGAAGAGAAGACTGTCAAGGAGACTAACATTTCAGGTCATAATACAACCTAATTACCTGTTAAATTTTGCTGAAGACAGAAGGTGAATAAGAGACAGGCCAAACAGCATCGCCGCTTGGAAGGTGTACCGCATTGCATCTTTATAAAGTCACAGAAAATTCACAGCTG